AGCTCAATCTGTTGCCAACCAGATGAAAATTTGCTCATTCGAACAGAATGAGATCCAGGATTTTTGGAGCCCACGAGACGTCTCTTTGTGCTTTTTTTCGGACCTTTTTTCTTCTCGTCTGTCGGACATCGCAACACTTTCGTGCATCGTGAATTTGCCAGCGTTGAAGGCTTTAAAAATTTAGAATTCCTTCCATTTTTTTTGAAAATTAGAATTTTAAACAAATCTAGAGCTGAAAGAATATACAACGAAAGCTGTGTATAACTTTGAAGTGATAGAGCAACCTCTTTTAAATCCAAGAGTTTATAAATCTTGGGGGTTCTGAATTATTCATCTACGCTAAAAAGCTCTAAAGGATAAATCTCTCGGCGTTGATCAATCTCTGAAGGATGGGCCATGCGTTCGACTTCATTAAACATCGTTAGAGGTGACTGAGTGCCTATTTGGCCTTTACAATGACTCGCGATGGCCTACCAATGTATTGAGCCAGTCCTGTTATCCTCCAAGAAAAGTCTAGTACCAATTTGCCGATCTCGGGAGGATGACGGCCTTGGTTAGCGTGGGCGCCGGGATCGATCCCATGTATATTGTAAGGCGCCTCTGACCATTGCACTGCACGCGCTCATTCATCTGCGCTAGTAATCAAGAATCGTTAGAATGTCAAAGCTTGCCAGAAGGACGACCAGGCTCGCGAATAGGTCGAGTGGATATTTTGCGGGAGCAACTTATGTTTGTGACATAACACAGTCCTAGTCCTGAATTCACGTTTATATCTTCTATTGAAGTGGACATGAACAGTCATTATTTGAAAAGCAATAAGACTCCACGCCCATGCAACCAATCTCTAAAGTTTGGATTGTTCTGTGTTCCGGATAGTAAATATCACAGTGATTCTAACAACCCGTAGTAGTAATCTCGCGGTCTCTACACTATCGGTAGTAAAGTTACAAGTGTAAAAGGTGGACTTTTTGTGGTACAAAAGTCTGCCTGCCTTGCTTACCCGAATTGATAGGCACAAACAATTGAGGCCCGTAAAGTAGCGATTTCAGTTTTCAAATCGATTGGATCCGTGTTATAGCGTCTTGCCTTATTCGAGTATTTTTCGCATGAGCCAAGTGTTTTTGACAGCTGTCTGTTTATAGAGACTTGGTGAGAACACCACTGAGAGCTCCGATGATGTCCACAACACTGATTCCTTCATAGTATCCGACGACGAATACCTCACTGGTGAGTTCTTGGTCTTTAGCATTGCTATTATCGAAAAAATCGCTTAAAGCATAATTGTGAAATTATTCTTTGACCGGATTTTTAGAGATAGTAATTGAAAAACTATATTTACTTATTCTAATCCAGATGATGATTCTTTTCTGCTTCGTTCGGACGCCGAATTGTCGCTTGAAAGTGTACCATCTACCGCTAGAAGAGCTCAGCTACCTCGTCGTGCAAAAGTTAGAGATCCAGATTTCTTCAAATGTTTTTGAAACAATTGTTATTTTCGGACAGAAATTTCAGGGAGATTCACATGAAGCTGTGCTGGATCGAGCGTATGTAGAGGATGTGTCTGCATCAGAAAGAGAACAAGGTGAGGAAGCTTATTAACTCCAAACTAAGATCGTATAACTGTGGTTTAATTTTCTGCAGATGTTAAACACAGCACGGTGCTCCAGCATGGCCATAGTACTACACTAGACGTACTTAACGATCGAGATAATCTATCACTGCAGTTGAGTCTCAGTTCAGTTCAAGAGGTAAGGACTTCATATTTAGCGCTCTTTGGCTTGGTGCGCTTGCTTATACTCATCAATTCATTTGCTTCAAATCACTGTACTGTGACCTTCACTTCCCAAATTCACTGTTTTATCCCTTGTTTATAAACAAATGAGCGCTCCTGTATCACGTGGGAAACTTAGTATAAATGAGGGACGTGTTTGCTATGCAGTGCAATCTAGTACAATTGCTTCTTGTTTGACTCTTACTTGCATACTTGGACGGCTCGTTTAGCCATTGTTTCCCTGGAGTCCCGAGGTTTGCCTGGCCGAAGTATGCCCCAGGTCGTCACCACTGCAGGCAGTCGCCGCCTTTGTGGATCAGAGGAAAATTTGCCACCATACTGCTAGTTTGGTACCAAGACGGTCGTGAATCCTGGTATTGGTTTACTCTCAGCTGGGCTACCTGATGTAAACGTTAGACTCCTCAACTTGGAAGACCCTGAGGTGGTGATGAATCCTCACTCTTTACATCGCAGTCCGACAACGAGCACCTCCCAGCCACGATGAGATGGTTAACCGTTGGGAGGCTCGTTTGACACGCTAACGGTTTATTTTATTGCACCACTATGCATCACGTTTTTACTGTGTTATGCTTTTACGGAAAAGTTCTACATGGTTTCAAACTTTTGCAATGCCTTCGAGGCAAGTCTACCCCGTATAAACACTTGCTGAAATTTTTGGAAACTAGATTTCTTTTCGCATCCTACTATGTTTTGGAGAACAACAATCTCTTCATTCCTTAAGTCGGGTGAAAATGAAGTTTTTTCTACTCGAACTACTTCTACCTATCCCTCCTTGATGAGCTCTTTGCCCTTTTTCTGCTCTTTTTCCTTTGCACCTCCCATTTCCCAGCAGTTTATTCACAACTTGTTGCCGTCTTTGAAGAGGACGTCATTTTTTTGATTTTGAAAAGTAAAGGGTTCCGTGGAATTCCACTCTTTACGCCCTTTTCATTCATGATGTTAGGATTCCATGGATCTTCTTGGTGTTAAGAATCTGAGACTGGTCGCGTGTGAAGCCCCTTCAAGCCGGTCTTAGATGGCGCATAAAGGATTCGACGTGAGCGCTTTTATGCTTCCATGAGACACAGTGGAATCCATGAATGCACACCCTGTCATCAATTTGAAGTACTGAAATGTAATGCAAATTACTTCATGCTTTGTGGTTTTTTTTTACTTTTCATAAGACCCTTCGCGTCTACCGTGCGGATCCCAGCACTACTCACATTCGCTTCGTTTCCTCCTATCCACTATCCCCTAAGATCTTCAACTTTTACGTGTGGCTTTGGCTGCTGCTTGATGATTTTCATTTCATCCTGAATGCTGTAGAATACTGGTCGAGCAATTCTTCCTGGTGTCCTGAGATAGCCGGGCTGGAGCGTTCCCAATTAGATTTCAGAGAGTGATTTTTTCCCAGACAAGTCGGTACCAATTTTCCGAACCCGCAGAGATGAGAGGCTTGGTTGGGCCGGAGCTGAATCGAACTAATGCCATGCTCGCGGTGGCCGACATCACTACCATTTGACGACATCTATGCGGTTATAGATACATTAATGCATACATCTGTCTGTGGTGTTGCTTTCATGTGTGTCGGTCACACATTAATTCGGCCAAAAGCCTATAAATAAAAAAACCATCAATATTTATTTGGGTGATATACATTGGTGTTGTTCTTATCATATATGGAAGTACAAAGTTCTATGAGACATTGGACTTGAGCTGAAGTTTGTGGTAATTTATTGTAATTGTCCTTTAGGAACGCGGAGAAGGGCTATCTCAAGTGGATGATTCCGACGAAAGTGATATGGATGCAGACGAGCGCTTTGAGAGCTGTAAGTTCGACGTTTTGTTCACAGATATTTGTTACATTTTTACTTATTTGTTGTGCATGTTTTAAAAGCAGATTTGAAAAAACTACGATGTAACACGGATACAAAGAGCAAGCGGACTGTTTGTGAGCGAACTCCACTGAGTAGGTTGGTTTCTTCAATGTTTGTCGTCCTGTGTTAACTAGTAAGTTTTTGCCCAGTTTTTGTTAATTTTGCTATTTTTCTATAACTTTCTGTTCACAGTTTCATCGTGAGCGATAGCGATGTTTCATCTCCTTCGATTTCTGAGAGTGAACCGAGTGATGTGTCTTGGCATCCTGATGAAATAAGTGATGAAGGAAATAGCAGCGAGAAAGGTGCAATTTATAAACAGTCGTTATGGAAATTTTCTTTTGCTCTTCAGTCAACTTCGCTATTACGTATGAAGATGAACTTCATTTAGAGCAGCAAACAAGGTCTGTCAAGGATTCTCTTGGTAGTTTATCTCTGTTTCCAAAAAATACGCAAGTAAGTTCAGCAGAAGTTAAGTATTATAATTCAAAAGTGTTCCAAATGCTTTGGGAATGATCTATGATTTGTCGTAATTTTTAGTTGAACTGCATGGAATAAAGGACTATATATTAGGTTGTAACATATGAAATATCCGATTTTAAATGTAAACTTCAAGTAACCATAACTTTTTCATACTAATTTTTTAGTCGAAGTAAGCACCATTATAATCAACACATTTTTGCTAACAAAAAGCAACTTCAGAATAGGTTATAGAGCTATCTCGAAGGGTCTGCAACGCATATCTTTGATGATCTCGGCTTATTTTGCAGGAAGTAGACCAAGACGAGTACTTCCTTATTTCGTTATCCCCTGACTACCATGGCAAACGGCATCCGGATGCTGAACTTTATTTACAAAGAGGACTTAAGAAGAAGAAATTGAGAAACGAGCTCACTAAACGTCTTTTCGACATATTCCGAACGCAATGTTTTAACGAAGAGGTGTAATTCTATCGTAATACAAATTCTAATACATTTTAGCTAAGGATTTAGCTTGAAGGAATTAGCGATGCAAAAAGTCTAGCGATAAAAGGTCGAAATCGAGTTGATTGACGAGCCAGTTCACTCGTTATCTATTTCTTCCTCCATTAAGGCTACATTATAAGTATAAATATGTACTATTAAGCTTCCCGAGCTTTTTACCATCAAATGGAACCCTCGCCTGCTCAAAACTGCAGGTCTGTGTCGAAATAAAAGTGATCGAACAAGTTGGATAGAACTGTCTCCAAAGGTTTGCAGCACTCCTGGTAGGACATTACCGTAGTTGAACTTTGTGCACAAGGTCTTTTTTCTTTTTCTGCTTTTTTCAATACATTGAACTTAGAACGGATTCGTGATACGCTTGTTCATGAAATGTGCCATGCTGCTGTGTGGATAGTCGATGGTCAAATGAAGGAGGGCCATGGTCCGCTATGGAGGAAATGGTGGGTATCGAATAAGAGCCTAAGGATATTAAAACGTCATTATTCACTGGTTTAGACTACTCGTTGTTCTTAACATTGCTCAATAATTCATCGAGTTCTTATCAGTAGTGAAGTTTTCATAAACTCTATGTTAATTTTTGGGTTTTGTTGAGTACGAAGAACTCCAAGCTAGCTACATTTTAAAGAAAACTGTGTATTGAACTCAATACTGAATCCGCTGTTTTCTTGATAAGCACGTACGAGGTTAGTACTTTACGCTTCATTCACGAAGAAGCTGACATTTGGGCGTACTTTGCCTTCCTACAAGCCGAGAAAAGTCAAAATGACTGCAACTTATTCAACCAAATACATCCATAATGTTATACCTTTTTATTTTCTGCCTACTATAATTTCGCGGTAGGGTACTAAGCGAAATACAACCACAACGTTGCTGAGATATTTGCCAAACGCTGGACCGCAGGTGTCTATGGTGGGGAACGAACGCGCTATTGTCCTTTCCTGGGACTAACGCGTTCACCACCACACCATGCGGGTCCTTTGTTTCTCCTGTCTCAGCTATTTCTGTCGATCTTTGCAAAACCCTGGACCGCAGGTTTTACAAATATCTCAGCAACGTTGTGGTTATATCTCGCTTAGTACCCTGCCGCGAAATTACAGTAGGCGGAAAATAAAAAGGTATAACATTGTGATTTCAACTACAGCCGCAGCTTAACTGGGTTCTATGCCGATTTGGGCGCCCCAGATCAATCCCGCTGACGGGTGATTGCTGTGGCAAAGATCGATAGAAATAGCTGAGATACAGGCGAAACAAAGAACTCGCATGGTGTGGTGGTGAATGCGTTACTCCCCGGAAGGGACAATAGCGCGTTCGTTCCCCACCATAGACACCTGCGGTCCAGAGTTTCGCAAATATCTCAGCAACGTTGTGGTTGTACATCCATAATCCTAACAGAAAACCCGAAGCCTAGATTTCAGTCGCATTGGAGATGAAACAGCTTCTTCGCACAGTCATGGCTTTCCATGAGTTTACCAGTGAATATTCCAAGTGGAGACTGACCCCACAGCGTTCACACGGATGGGTAATGCGCCTTTCTCACATAAAAGTATCAGTGTAAGATATTGTTTGGCCTCACGCGTGATGACGAGACATTCCTCTCTGCAGTTCATCTTTGGATTCCTAGAATTTATCCGGAATATTTCGTGAGTTTTGCGCACTTTCCGTCACCACTACTGCGTTCTCTAGATCGACCCTTTTTAAGCAACGTTTTATAGCTGCACTTATTTTGTTGCAGATCAGGGCAGAATGAACCGGAGCTTATTCTCTGTAGAATCATGATTTCGAAGCGTTGTGTACGTCTGCACCAATTTCGAGGAAGAATTCCTAAAATCCAAAAATGCACCACAGGGTGGAATTCCTCGTTATCACGCGTGATCTCACACAATACCTTAGATTGATATTCTAATGTGAAATAGGTCCACTAACCATATATGTGACTCTGCGGTTAGTTTCTACATGGAATATTCAGTAGAAGACCCAGTAGAAAGCGATGAGTGTGCGAATAGACTACTTTGTGGTGAATGGTGTGGTGATGAACGCGTTAGCCGCTGGAAAGGGTAATAGTGCGTTCGTTCCCCACCGCAGACACATGCGGTCCTGAGTTTTGCAAATATCTCATCATCGTTGTTGTTGCATTTCGCATGATACCCTACCGTGAAAAATTGCGGTAGGCAGCAAATGAAAAGTGAACTACTTTGTTTCCAATGCAATTGATATCTAGGTTCCATGTTTTTCCTTTAAGGTTATGAAAGTATTTAGCTGACTAGATTGCAGTCACCTTCACATCTTCAAGTTGATAAGAAAGGAAATCTGCCGAAACGTCAGCATTTTTTATAAATGAAAAGCAAAGTAACAGCCTTTTGTGTTCCTTTCAAGAAAACGGAACTACAGATCAGTGCCGAGGTTAACAGAAAGTCGTCCATGGAAACTACAATCTTAGCTGGTTATTTTGTGAACTATGGCGGACACAAGTTATTGGTTGTTTCGTTTGCGGTCAACCTGTTTTATTAGGGCTTCCCGCTGCATGCAAAAATTTCGATCTCTTCCCATCATTAATCGGTGTCATGACTATGAAATAGAAGCAAAGTTCATATACGAATGTGGAGGTTGTGGACAAAAGTGAGTGAACTACACATTGTTTGTCTTTTAATTTTTATTTATTCATTAGTTGCGGTCATTTATCTTTTCCATGGCATAGTATCCAGTTTGTCAAAAGAATTCTTGCAACTACAATACAAAAGTAGAGACTCATGTAGCGCAGTGGTTAGAGAGGTCCGGTAATACACACATGATCCCTAGTTCGATCGCGCGCCCCGGGGTCACCAACCTTTACATATCTCCTGGCCCGGCAAATTGGTACCAAACCTGTCTGGAGAAAATAGCAGCACTGACTTAATACATTCCTAAAACTGTAAGTCATTGTATAGGTGAGATATGCATTCAATCATCATTACGATACTGCGAATGAAGTCGAATGTATGGCGCATCCCTCAAGGTTTAATCAGTGCGTAAAGCTTCATCCTTTATCCTTTGAAGTCAATTCCAACCAAATTCCTTGTGAGTATTCGGTTAACTTCCTTCACTTTTTAAGTCCAACATTATATTGGTCAAATGTAAACTTCATCTCGTTGAAAATTTTTGTCTAAAAACTTGATCACAGAGTAAGACGTCATACGAAATCGTTGGATATTAGTCGAAAGATATGCGGTATTTGCAAGTGTTCCTTCACTCTTAACACTTTTCTACGTGCAAGAGTGTCACCGGGAGTTGGACTAGCACAGAATCCATTCGCGAAGTTTGTTAAAGAGAACTACTCGAAACACAAGAAACTTGGCATGAAACACGGCGAAGTGAGTTTATCGTATTTTGTTCATTCACTGGTCTTTCTATGATGTAACCAAAACTTATTTGCTAGATTTGATTCTTACTGATGTGAAGGAATATTTTTGTTTAGCTCTTGTTACGCGTTCAGGTTATGAGAACCTTGTCGCAGCTCTATAAGTCAAATGGTTCGATAAATAGTATAGTGGATGCTGCTCCTGAGAAAGAACTCGATATCAGTGTGCTTTCTATAAATGACTAGGTTCTTTGTTTATTTTGGTTATTGTCGTAGTCTTATTTTGCTTTACTGAAAGCTATGTATGCCATACATATTCTAGACCTTGTATGACATGGGATTAGTCACATGTTATTGTAACTTTATGATCTGTTGTTGACAACATTTCCACAGCATACAGGTATTTCTGAACATAAAGTCATTTCAACCACAATAAGCAGTTATGCTGTGCAGTGCCATAATCCTTTATCACGATACTGCTGGGAAATAGCTTGTCGATAGTGTAACTATCTGAATAGTCGCTTTGAAAAGAGATGAGTTAGGTACATATCGCATCGAAGGGACGGAAAGTGTTTAAGAACAGCACAACGAGCCAGTGAAAACAGAGTGGGGACTTCTCTGAAATGCAGTATATATAGCTGCATTCCTTTCCTCGCTTCGAAGAAAAAACTCACCGAAATCTGATATTGATCATCTTCGGGCTTCCGTTGACTTCATCTTCGAGAATCAAAAGAGCACTGCCATCTACGCATACATCCATGGTGACCTCATACTCGTGATTCTCCACGTCGGCAATTAGATACCACCTGTAATTCGCCTTATTTCTGAAGTAAATTCAATGCCAGACGTAATTATAATACATGGAAGACCATGCCATAATAACACAGGAGCACTTTAAGGTTAAGGATCTTTGAAATTCTGTTGATTTTATCTTTACACAATGCTTACCCATCATTTTCGAGTCTCCAAAGGTTAAGAGTTGCTATTTGAGTGTTGTTCTGGGTGACAACCCAGATATGGCCTGGTCGATGAAAAACGCCCAGCATAAGAACAGTTCCCACGCCACTCGGTTTGCACAGAGCGGGAGCAAATTGGAACGGTGGTGGATAAAAAAGAATCTGGAAATATAACCACAATGATGCTTAGGTTTTTGCAAAACTCCGGACCGCAGGTGTCTACGGTGGGAATCGAACACGCTATTGCCCTTTTCGAGGGTTGACGTGTTTACCACCACACCATACATGTCCTTCGTTCAATCTTTCTCTGGAAATAGTTCTTCAGGCCAAGAGTCAGATAACCATGCATACCTCTTCGTGAGATATATCTATAGCGAATATATTTCCATTGAAGCTTCGACCATTCTCTGAATTCAGCATTGGTTCACTCTCGAAGCAGTATATAATGCTACCTTCTCTCCAAGGATCGGTGTAGAGGAAAAACAACTCGCCCTCATAGGCTATATCTGTAATCACAGGTTGTATTCCATCTTTATTAGAATAGAGTTGAAGATCTGGATGAATTCAAGCAGAATCATGTTAAACAGAGATACCAGCATGACCTTCAACATAAACTAAGGGGCTGGATGATCTGGGTGGTTGGAGGTAAATCGGCAGAGTGGGAATGTGCCACATCGTCTTGTTCTCTACGCGTGGCTGCAGTAGCATGGAAAGCATCTACCTAATCAAACGCTCACCTGGCGACCTATTGCCTTGTAGTTCGGTTTCTGAATACTCTTTATTCATAACTTTTACGGTTTTTATACCCTACGTATTCTTCATGTCCTTATATACCGTCCCATAACACAAACACATTCAACTCATAAGGACGCTTGTATCGCAGTGGTCGAAGGCGCCCTGCGATACACATAGGATCACATAGAACGACTCAGGTTCACCAAGGTTTCCATCACCACCGGGTCGGTAAATTGATACCAGACTTGCCTGTGAGGATAGCAGCACTGGCTCAATATATCGGTAGGCCAGCACGATGCATTGCAAAGGCCAGATATGCATTCAATCAGTTCCAAGGATGCTTGATGAAGTCGAATGCATGGTGTATCCCTTACGGATAGATCAACGCCGAGAGCTTTTTTTAGCTTTCATTGAACCCATATGTGTTGTAAAAAACAAAAACGCGTCCGCCACCCAACCACATTACTGTCGGTCTTTTGGTGAGCGTTCATAAGATTTGTCAAACAGATTTCTACGTTTTCATTACACCAGCCTATACCATACAATGAAGATAATTCATCGCTGAGAATGGAAATAAACTAACAATCAACTACCAGTTAAATTGAGGTTATATTGAACTTTACATGGCTCCACTGTAAACATTGAAGATTTTGAAGTAAATGTTTTAGAGTATAACGTTTACAACATCTCATGAGAAGTGTTGAGATTATGTAGTACTTGCGAAGACATACTTTATGAAGAGTTCGGTGAGCGAGAACTTTGTGCACTCCTTCCCTTTTTCCACACCCTACAAACAACGTTTGCACAAGTTCCCCATATGATTTGAAGTTTCTTCATGGTGGTAGAGTGTCGGTTGGATTTGAACGTCATCGTAGTAATAGATAGTATTCCTAGGGTGCCCGCCACCCATTTCAAGCCAGACAAACAAATTCATCCAGAAAAGGTCTTTTGTAGATCACTATGTGCTGAACAGCGTATATCCCGGCTGACGGCTCCGCGACAACAGTCTGTGGAGAACAGGCTATACAATGATTACAAAAAGTATACCAAAAGCCTGCAAAAATTTCACAACCAAGATATCACCATTCTACAACGATATTAACATTGACGTCAAAAGTGGAGTTAGGCAAGGCGATACAATCGCCAAAATTATTTACCGCCACCCTCCAGAACGTCATGCGAACATTGGAATGGGATAATATGGGAGTGAAAATCGACGGTTGACAGTTACACCATCTTCGCTTTGCTAATAGCATCGTCCTTATAACACCAAACATTAGCCAAGTGGAACGTACGCTTGACGACTTTGATAAAGCCTGTGGAAAGATTGGTCTTCGACTAAATCTCACAAAAACGATGTTCATGAAAACGGATTAGTTTTGCATGCCCCATTCACGCTCAACGGAGCGAATATCTCCGAATGCTCCAGCTGTGTCTATCTACGTCGGAAAATCAATGTGATGAACGACCTAGCTCCAGAGCTGAGCAGAAGGAAACGAGCGGCTTGGAGAGCTTTCAAGAGCATCGAGGATGTAGTGAAGAGAACAAGGAATACCCGACTCCGTGCCCACCTTTTCGACTTAACGGTACTTCCTGCCCTAACGTATGCGTCATAAACCTGGTCGCTGCGTAAGCAGGATGAAAGGTCACTCAGCGTTATCGAACGCGCAGTCGAAAGGACAATGCTAGGAGTATCCCGTTCCACACAAGTAAGGGAAGGGATCCAAAGTTCCGACCCACGTCAACGGTCGAAAATCAAAGATGCCGTTCTGTACCCAAACAGTCGATAAGGTGGGCCGCACACGTAATGCGTATGAACGACAACCGATGCACAAGAGCCGTTAGTGACTGGATTTCTCGGGATGTCAAACGTACTACAGGAAGACCACCGACCCGATGGTCAGAGTTCTTCACAAAGAGTCTTTAAGAAAGATATGATGGTCGACGTACCTAGAGCAAGCAGAACCCACTTGGCTACTCATGCACGCAATAGGGAAAAATGGAAGACTTACTGGCGCTCGCTCGAGTCACTCGACGATCAACGGGACTACAGGTGATACAGGTGATACCAAAACCACGTATCTCCTTCACAGAGGGATCTCTTGCTGGTCTGTTAGTCGCAAGACAACGCAGCGCGGTGAGGGAATGGACGCCCTGTTTCTGCTTTTGGCACATACCTTCTGTATTTACGAGGACGTATTCATGCAAACGTGCATTGGTGTGTTCTCGTTTATGCAGAGTATATTCTACGAATGAATTCGGCCAAAAGCCTGCAATCAAGTGACACGGAAACATATGCGAAGCAGTTAGGAGTCGCTCTAACAAATAAGCCCATCATCTTTTCAGACAGACTGCCAAGCTAACAGTGAATATACCAGGCGCTACGTTCGGGGCTCAGCAACCTCTACGTGGGTATAAAGTGCTAAACACTAAAATAGACGGGCCTCCTTCCTTGCCCCGAAAGAACCCTGATTCGGCAGCGTTGTGTAGAACGAGTACGGATAGGCTGCCTAAATCGCAAAGGACTAGCGTGACGCGTGAATATCTGTACCTACAACTCACACACACACTTGAATCTGAATCCTCGATAGACGACTTGATTATGCAGGAAAGAAGGATAAGGTACGACGTCATCGGAGTGGCTGAGACGAGAAGACGCCACCCATTCAACGCCGCCTATGACACCGAAGAAGAACTGTTCCTGGCAATATACGACAATAGCGGAGTTAGCTGCTTCGGCGTCCTCATCATCACAACTTTGTCCATGAACATCGATTCATTGGAACAACTAACAACCCGAATCGGAAGTTTACGATTGACGAGATGTGGATCAATACCGACTTTGGCAATCTTCGTCGTTTACGCGCCGACATCAAACTGTGACGAAGCGTTCTATGTGGATTTGAAGCAGCTCTTCACAGAAGACCATACATCCTTTAACGTCATCATTGGAGACTTTAACGCTAACACTGGATCCAGAAGAACATCTGAAAAACGCCACATTGTAACTCACAGATCAGAATGGAAATTACACCATGAGCGGCTGTCTCAGTTTATCATGACGAAGATCATTAATGGGAACTCACAACTCTAGAAGCTCCACTACTAAAGCTGTAGTCTCCCAGTGAAAAGTACTGTAACGAAGTAGACCATATCATAGTAAATCAAAAGTTTTACCTAACTGATGTCGCTGCTTTTCCAAAATCCTACACTGAACTAGACCATAGCCTCGTTCTTTAAAGATTTCACTTCTCGCAGAAAGAACAGAAGCCATTAACTTCAGAAAAGAAAGCCCCAAAACCACCACAAACTGGGACTTATTCAGTTCATTAGTCAGCTACTGGCAAAATGTCGTTATTGATGACATCGACGATACAATCAGCTTTTTCAACATATTGACATTAGCACTATGAAAGCCGAAAGTTCGAAAAACACAAAGAGACGTCTATCTCCGGAACCACTTAAGATGGAACACAGGCGTTGAATCGCATGAGCTACAGAAAATTGCGAGCTCATGTCCGAACCTGCAAAACAATGCAAACAGGCGATAAAAGATCTTAAAGAGAGAAGAGCAACAGTAATGGTGAAGCTGCAGAGGTTGGGAAAAGCATTCGTTAAGTCTACCAAAACCTCGCCAATTCCAAACCAAGGTGGTTGCACTTCGACACCAGGCGGAACAGTTGTGGATTCCAGAAAGGCAGTGGAGAAAACCACTCACAGTTACTAGTTGGATTTCTTCAGTAGCCACGTTTTCGTGCCCTCATTTGAAATAGAGGAGGATGGATATGTCGTACCATCGGTTCTCCTTCCGGAAATATTTCGTCGGTGAAAAATCGAACAACACCAACTCCGAGCATGATAAGACCTGAATACCTGAATAACCTTCCGCCAGTACTCATGAACACAGTGCCTTGGCTCTTCACACGTTACCTGTCTAAATGCAAGGTTTCTACTCTGTGGAAGACGAGGAAGACCGTGTTATTGTTCAGGAAAGGTGATTTCCACGGTATCAGAAACTATCACACGGTCTGCTTGCTATCTCTCTTCTATGAACTTTTCGTTCGAGTTATCGTAAACAGAACTGGCAGGACACTACACGACGGACATCTATGTGAGCAAGCAAAGTTTCGAAAACGATTCACGACTATGGACAACTACGCATGATAATAGGACTCACTGAGCTGTCGCGAGAGTACAAGAAACCGCTCTGTCCTACTTCCATCGATTTAAGGAAAGCTTTTCACTCAGTTGAGATAGAAGCAGTCACCGAAACCACGGACACCGAGAGAGTCCCTACTAAGTATATAAAGATTCTTCGTGAACTACCTGAACACGAAGAGCGACTCAGCTCCAGAGTTGAGCAGAAGGAAGCGAGTGGCTTGTGGAGTTTTCAAGAACATCGAGGGTGTAGTGAGAATAAAGAGCACGTGACCCTGTGCCCACCTTTTCAACTCCACGATTCTTCCTGCCTTCACGTATGCGTCGGAAAACTGGTCGCTACGTAAGCATGATGAAAGATCACTCAGCGTTATCGAACGCCTAAGCGAAAGGAAGATGCTGGAAATACCACATATTACGCAATTAAGAGAAAGGATGCGAAACTTCGACCTACGTAAACGACCAGAAGTCAAGGACACCGTTCTGTACACTTAACTGTCGAAGATAACGTGGACTAGACACGTAATGCCTGTGAACGACTACCGATGGACAAAGGCCGTTAATGATTGGTTTCTTGGCTATGTAAACGCACTGCAGCTAGACCAGCGAAATAATGGTCAGACTTCTTCACGAATACACTAGAAAATGTGGTTCTCAACGAGTTCCTAGAGCGGAGAGAACCCAATGGACCACTCTTGCACGCAACACGGAGAAATGAAGGCTTTACTGGCTAGTTCGAGTCAGTCGACGATCGAATGTACGAACGGTGCTACAGGCGACATCAAAAACCTTTCGTATGTGTTTTATGCCGGCTTATTTCCTTTGAAAGACATAAATCATATATTCTACTCATTTCATAGCCAATGCATTAATCTATCTATGCATTGAAAATTAGTGGAATGGAATCGGTAGTTTCTGAAGGAATTCAAATACTAACGAGATCAAAAATAAGGGGAGATCTCTTCACGAACTGGGATCATGGTAAGAACATGTACTACTAGAACACACTGGCAAGTGCATAAAATCGTAACGTTTTAATTTGACACAGCACGGTGATAATGGGAGGAAAATATAGGCTAGAAACCCAACTAATAGAAAAAGGAAAGCAAAACTTAGACATTACCAGTTCGAGAGACATCAATGACCTTGCTCCTGCACTCAAGTTCCAATACTCGTACACCCAATCGCGAACACGCTAGCACCGTCAGCCCTCTTTCGTACCTGAAATCTCACCAAAAACATTCATACCACTGAATTACTCAATCTCATTGACCTCATTGACCTTTTAATAAGAAGCACTGCTTATAAAGTCTCTCACAACATAAATTAAAGTACAATTTGTCAGTAATCCGGTCATTCAAACCATTCTTTATTCACTTCGATACTTGGATGACCAATCCTCATTGGTTGTGCGGGCACCAGCATAATCTCCATTTTCTTTTTCGGAGTTTAGCTGATTTAGCCACTGTGGTTCTCTGGAGTTTCAAAGACGGCCAGGTTAAAGTCTACCCCAAGTCGTCACCACAACAGGCAGTCGCCGCCTTTGCGGATCAGAAGGAGATGAACCACCATGCGGCTAGTTTGATAGCAGGATGGTGGTGGATCCTGGTATTGGTTTACTCTTAGCTGGACTTCTTGTTGGAAACACCGGACTCCTTCTCAGCACGGAAAACCCTGCTGGGGAGATGAATCACCCCATTGTACATCGCAGCCCGACACTCAGGAACACCTTACAGCCACAATGAAACGGTAGACCTTTGGGAGGTTCATTCTTTAACACTATGAAATTTCGAAGTTCATCATCTCATTCACCTCATGCACCTGTATTCGTTCGTTCCCTCTTCCTGATGTCGTTTTTCAATTATATGAACACGATTCAGCACCACAACCCACTTTTGCTCATGGTTTACGTGAGCATGTAAAATCTAAAACCGAATACTTAGTACTGTAATTGCAAACTGTAAATTGCTCATGCATGAGTAGGTGAGGTGATTTCGGTAACTGCTAAATTAGGCATGCATTAAAATAATACGCACTCGGCTACTATGATCAACTTTATTTTTTTTTATAGTAAGAGCAATGAGGACGCACCAAAAACTCATCTACGCTTTCGACGATAACGGCAGCTTCATCCTCATTCAACTCGTAGAATTCCAGAAGCTCTTCACCTTCGCGAAAATCCACTTTATATTCGCTTAAATTGAATTGAAAAAACAAACTACTGCATAGAACAGTCACAGTGGCACATAATTTAGCTACCGTTTGAACTACAATGATGCTGAGATAAAAGATTGAGATTGCTGTGGCAAAAAGATCGATAGAAATAGCTGAGAGACGTGCGAAACAAAGGACCCGCATGGTGTGGTGGTGAACGCGTTACTCCCCGGAAAGGATAATAGCGCGTTCGTTCCTCACCATAGACACCTGCGGTCCAGAGTTTTGCAAATATCTCAGCAACGTTGTGGATGCTGAGATATTTGAAAAACCCCGAACCACTGGTGTCTGCGGTGGGGAACGAACATGTTATTATCCTTTCCGAGGGCTAACGTGTTCACCGCTACACCATGGGAGTCCTTTGTTTCGTCTTTCTCTCAGCAGTGTTATTGACCTATGGATTCTATCAGTAATCACCCGTCAACGAGATTGATCTTGGAAGCACAAATCGGCATTGAAACGAGTTAAGCTGAAGCTGTAATATAAATCACAATGCCGTCATTTTTTATTTACTAGGCAGTAAATTAAAAGTGATGATATCGTTTGATATTACTGTAATAGTATAACAGTATAACATTACTGAGATCGAACATACCTGTTACCGCCGGTCCAGAGATCGTATACAGTCAGCACAGTTTCCTTTATTCGAGGAATTACAGTTTTCCGATGAACGAAATACACATAGCGCGATATTCCCACTGATGTTGCTATGCTTTCTAAGGCTCCACAGTCTAAAAATGTAGTTGCGTACGAGAGAAAAACCACTTCCCTTCAGATTCAGGACTAGAAAAGTGAGGAAATTTTGAATTTCCTCTGCTGTACAAAATGGTACGGGTGCAATTTAGGTGCCTATTAATTCAAGACTAAAGAAACAAAAGCAAACAATAAGCAAGCAAACAAAGCAAAGCAAAGCATAACCAAACAACTACCGTGGCTGTATTGTGGGGTGCCAGTGTTATCGTCGAAGGGAAAAATCTGATGTTTTGACATAAAGAATGGACTATAGTAGTGTTAGCAGAGAATAATGTAGGAATTATAAATGGACACTGTGGACATGGCACTCGATACCACGACCTTGCTCAGGTCACTGGGAATGGCCAGCATAATAACCTCAGGGTGTGTCCTCATCGCTGGGCATTCAATTAGATAGGAAGGTAGCGTTTTTTTCTGTAGAAAAAGGACACGAGGGACTTTCGTTGGATAGTGGTGTTTTTTCTGTAGAAAAAAGACATAAGGGACTTTTGCTGGATAGATTTTTTCTAATAGAGAGGAAGTTCTAAAACGAACAAAAACCTTAATGAGTGGCTTTTATTTCGTGGGTGATGTTGTTAAACAATACTCCTCAGTTTGTTAATCTCCTATTTGCTGCCTACTGTAATTCTTCACGGTACGGTATGATGTGAAGTACAACCATACCGATGCTGAAGTACTCGCAAAACTTGGACCCCGGACCAAATCGAACCACGATTATTCTTTCCCAGAGCTCGTGTCTAACACACTGCACCACTAAGGCCTTGCTTTGCGTTTTTTTCTCGCTAAACTGCCAAATAGGTAGTTCTACCTCCCTTTTTCCAGATATGGTTTAAGTTCTATTTGACCATGATACCTCTCCCAAAGTGAACCCAAAACTCCTAAAAACTATCAGTGAAAGGCCTCGGGATAATGTCATCAACGCTAATCCGCAGAAAAAAGTATTGATTCCAATCAATCGATTCGCTAGTGATATTATGATAAGGTATGAGAGTAATTATGGTAAAACGAAGGAAATTTCCCTATTTGATATCTCCATTCGTCACAGACACTTCTTTTTAAATGACTGACCTACACCGTTGAGCGAACACGGTGTTAATAGAACTTCCCTCTTATGACTGCTAACATTGAGTCTTCAATGTTCGGCTATTATCATTAGCTACTATACACAATCAAGAGGAGGATAGAGCAGTGTTTGTGATGTCACCAAGCTTGTCATTCTTCGGGAATCGTCAAATTGCTGCCAGACTTGTCTGGGAGAAGTTCAGTCTGCTATCAATGCGGGTACGGCCTAGCCTGGTTATCTCAGGATACCAGTGAGTATCGATTCGACCAGAATTTAATGATATTCATGATGAAAGGAAAATCGTGAAGCACCGGCTGCGCCCACATATGAAAAGTTCGAAGACCTTTGTGGACGACGAATAGGAGGAAACGAATCGAAAGCAAGAAGTGCTGGGATCCGTACAGTAGGTGTGAATGACGGATCGTGTGAAATAAACAAAATTTTTTACACTATTAAAGTGTCACGTGGTGTTTGGAGCTGTATGGTTTTGTTCCAAATATCAAATAGAAGAATTCAGAATAGTTTTGTCCCAAGGGTTTACTAAATCTAGAAAGAGGTTATCTGACGGAAAAAGACATGATCCTAAGGCGGGAAATCGTTGCAATTTCAGCGGGACTAATGCCAGAATAGTTATCCCGGACGGCTCCTTCTCTGCATTCTTAATATATGTATCTTATTTTTTTATTGTACATGATCGGCCGGTTATGATAAAAGTAGTATTTCATCCATACGATGCTGTCCTACTGTGTTCGAATTTATTTTTACCATTCGTATGACCAGAGTCCATATATTTCATAGATTACAGCACAGCATTTTTAAAGCGAGGGGCATAATGCAGTTACCTCAAAGATTTGAGCTACTTCCTTTAGGTTTTGCTATCTGGATATTTACTGTTTTTTATAATTTTATTTTACACGAGCCTGTGAAGATCCCAGCTAGCGCTTGCATCTGATTCTTTCATCCAGCATTCATCCTCCACAAAAGCCTACAAACATTCCACGTGTTGTTTCAGCTGCTGCTGCCTGAGGATTTCACCTTCTTTATAAATGTATCAGAATGCTGGTTGCATCAATTCCTAATGCACTCCTACGTGGATTGGAGGGGAGCGTTGGGGCGAGGATCGAACTAGCGCCTTTGCTTCTTGATCGGTGGCATCACTAACCACTGCGCTATCCCCGCTATAAATCCCCTGCTAAACCAATCACGTAAATGCGCTATTCGACTTTTCCAGTACTTTCTCAAAAAATATAGTAGGAATTTGGAAACCATCACCTCATAATTTTAGACACCAACTACAGAAACTTAGAATACCAGTTGACCGACTATGAAATGTTGGTGATAAATGAGGGGAATGCACTGCGATAGCGGTCTTAGTTGTCCCACATTCAAGCCCACTTTTCCGAGGTTTATTCGTTGGTAACGGGCTCCTTGTGAAGAATACAACACTGAGTTGTTCCTTTTCCGTGTTTTCTATTCTCTATATATCATGATAAGTCCGACTTCATATTATGTGCAACAGTAATTTCATGTACCGCCTCATCGTAGATGGTAAGGGTTTCTGGATGACTGACCGCGATGTCAAGTGGTATCAATGTATTGATTCCCTAAAGCCAAACTGTGAATGAGTTCTTCATTTACATACGAAAGATCAGCTAAGAACGAATCAAATCTCAGAGTAGCTGTTGTCCCTGAAAGAAAGAGCCGATTCACAATATGTCAAACCAATCCTCGATTCATAAGGATCGAGCGCTGCTTGTGGTGGTGATATCAAAACACTCTGCTTAAGCTAATTCGACGTTCAGAATAGGAATTAATACTTTCTTCTTAAGCAGATGCGAGCTTTTAAATAAATGTCACAATAGCGACGAATAAATTATTCACAACAGCCACTATTTGACCGTTTCGCTTCCCTCAGAGACCGGAGAGGTCAAGTTTTTACGCTACCTACTCAATCAAACACTTTCAAAACCACAACAGTCAAACCTCAACACCTAAATTTAAATCGCATGGTAAATAGCTCCTTTTGAAACACTTACCGTTTTGAACTTTATAAGTGTTCAGTTATTGATGGAGGCCAGCCGCACAGTCTGGATAAGGAATGTGCCCGACCCAGGTCAAAAATTCATCCTGAGATATGGGACGAGGTCACGCGTGATCGCAAAACCTTCCTCTATGCGATTAGATTCCTTTGCAAGGATTGAGGATTTAAGGGTTCATGTGGCGCAGTGGTCGGAGATGCCCTGCGACGCAAATGTGGAATCGATCCCCACGCCCATGGCCAATCAAGCCTTCCATCCCTACAGGATCGACAAATTAGTATCAAACTTGTCTGGAAGGATAGCAGCAGTGCCTCAATACATCGGTAGTCCACCGCGAGTCATTGTAAAAGCCAGGTATGCATTCAATCACTGCCAAGCGATGCTTAATGAACTCGAATGCATGGCGCATCCCTTTAGGATTGATCTACGCCGACAGTTTTAGAGCTTTCCTTTATGCGAGGATTGTGACTTCTACTACAAAATCTTCCTGGTAATGCATTTGTCCAATGCGTGCCTAATGGAGTACCTTGTTTTCCTTTACACTTACCGTCTAGGTGTTCTTTTGTACGGACACATAGTGGGTCTAACCGTTTCTCTAATATATCCGTCCTGGCATGCGTTGACAGGTTTAACGTATCTGTTGAATTCATGCAATCATCTTCTCTCCCGTTGGGCAAATTATACCATTTTGCGTCGTCATAGACGGTCATACAAATGGTTACGAACTAATAGGCTTCTGAGAGTATTCGATGGTGTTTCAGTCACTGCTACCAACTCCTCTAGTCAGACCCTTTTTAAGCGATCTTTTATAGGTGTACCTATTTTATTGGAAATAAAGGCAGGATAAACGGCACCTTATTCTCGGCAGACATCGTTTGGGAGCGCGTTTGTTCCTTTAATGCTGCCGAAGCCACCGTTTCGTATCCATATGGATAATTACTATTTAATAAGAAGCCCGTGTGAGCTTATGGCGAATTATTCATGAATGCCGAGGTTGATACAAAGTCGGTCCTGGGAATTACGGCAGCCACTAAAAGTTCTTGAACCCTAACTAAACTATGGAAGCAGAGAGGTATCGTCAGAAAGTCGACAAAATGCACGGATGATCGGAACGTCTAGGGTGAATATACATCAACGAGTTCTGTCATTTGACGATAACCTAGCAAACGTCATACTACGAAACTGCAAAGTTGGAACGAAACCGGCTACACAAACATTTATTCCATCGCATCTACCAGACCTATCGCCAACGCTAACCAGTTTTTCAAGCACGTTCATAATTATTTCCAAGCAAATATCTTCACTAATCAAGCCGCTACTGAAAATACTTTCGAAGAATTCGTCCCTGCCAGAATTCCAGAATACTTGACCACTGAAACGACTAATGAATCCGCATCTTATTGACAAGATTGTGTAAATTTTAGTGGTCAATACGTTGGTTAGTAAAGTTGAGTTCAAGTCAAGCCCCGATAGTTTTAAAGATACTGTTCAAATCTGACTTTTAGTTATGGCTGGATCCAGTATATGTTAAATAAAAGGAAAATCGAGAGTATTTATCCTGTAGATCCATATATTTGCCTTCTCTAGCCCAAGAATAGATCAATAACGGCAAACCACTAACCGAGTTAAATGCATTAATATCTTTAAATTTAAATCTCTAACAGAGTTCTCCCAACGGTTTACCGCCTCATCGTGGCTGGGAGGTGTTTCTGGATATTGGACTGAGCTGTCCAGGGCGAGCGAGAGGTGGGGCATTCTTCCACCCGGCAGGGTCTCCTGACCTGAGAAGGACTCCGTTACTTGGATCCACCACCGTTCTGATATCAAACTAGTCGCATGGTGGCAAATCTCCCTCTGATTCACAAATGCGGCGACTGCTCGTGGTGGTGCCGATCTCAGGCAGACTTTGGCCAAGCTGACCTCGGGACTCCAGGGAAACAATGGCTAAACAAGCAAAACTCCGAAAAATGGAGACTATGCTGGAGGTCCGCACAACCATTGAGGACGGGCCATTCAACTATCAAGAATCAAATAACACAAATCTCAACATTGCTAAGATAATGTTAGCCTTTTGTTTTCTGCCTGCTATAATTTTTCACGGCAAGGTATGATGTGAGATACAGCCTCAACGATACTCAAGTATTCGCAAAACTTTGACCCGGGCCAGAAAGAATCACGATTTTCATTTCCGGGATCCTTTCCTTATCTCACATCATAACTTGTAGTGAAGAATTATACCAGGCAGAAAATAAATGCTAATATCGAAAAGACAGAAGAAGAACAGCAAAAACACGCGACCAGTGACAAGTCCAAAACAACTGAACTCTCCATGACATGTACTCACTTTTTTATTTACTTAAAACACCTGGCGGCAGGTTTGTAGTGGGGATCTAACTCGCTATTATCCCTTCCGGAGAATAACGTGTTCACCACCACACCAAGCGGGCCCTTCGCTTCACCTTTCTCCCAGCATTACCCTTTCTGTTATTCTCCACGACATGCCTTCGTTACTGACAAGCTTACATAAGTCTGCTACAAATCTTCATTTTGGCTAACGTTTCGGCGCTGTCGTCCTAATCAGAGCCACGGCGATTCCAATACCAAGTGTCCACAGTAGTTCATTCATCCTGCGATGTAGGTTATCGTCGTGGTCACACCAAGTCGAATCGAATACAACAGAGTACTGCACGAATGAAGTAACCCTCTTATACAGGGACTCCAGCCACGCCAAAATGGTCCGAGTTCAGCAGGTAGTTCGCCAGGATGCAGAGCGGTCGTTGGACGATTGTCAACCATAATCGCCTTTTTTATGGTGATTATGTACTACTGTTCTTTTTTTTCTTTTCTTTTTTTCTTATTCCCTTTTTTAAGTGTATTACCCATGACATGTGTTCGGCAATGAGCGCATGGATTCAGCGTCCCTACGAAGTAAGGGATGGAGATTGTACGTGTGAACGCAAGTGTACCGGACGGTAACTCGGCCATGCAATCCGGCCGAAGACAAAACATGAATGGTCACTTTATGGAAAAGATGCCATGAAGAATGAACAAGTTTCACGTTCTTATGAATTCTCGTGCTCTTGGCAATATTCCGAAGTATGCTGAAACCATCGGTGCTCTTGTTCTTTCAGGCTTTACCCTGGTGGTAATTTCTGACCTCTGATGTTCGTTAACATTTGGTATGGATATATTCCTTTGTTCACTGACACATTTGCGTGCCTCTGGATCTAATTCGGTCGTCCAGTTTTACATAAGGGCTGGTGCGCCACTTGCGATTGAACACGAACGATGGGGGTGCTGCACTCTACACACCGTTTCCATCAAAAATGCTCCACCTACACATTCGTCTATTCCGAACAAATCGAACAATTTCGTTTGTATCCTCGTAAGGCTGGATAAAGTCGTGAATGGAGGTTACTGTAGTGACGGAGTGGACGAGTTACAGCGCTGCGCCGTTGCGATTCGGCGTGCTCTTGTTTCACGACGGTGTCCTTCGAGTGCTTGTGTACGGCTCGAATTCGTTTTCGCTTATCGTGTTGTCTCGCGTACCGTTCTGCGCAATGCTTCGTTTTGGATCAGTGGTGTGATGTTTATTTGCAGAGTTCCGTCCCGTAATCCTCACACAAGCACGCTCATATCATCGATGGCGGATCTGGATGCTGAACTGGCTCTGTAGGTGTCGATTTTGTTCTGTGATTTTTCTTTCTCGGTTTTTCCACTGTCATGAGAGCATGTTTCATTTCGCGCTTTACAGGGCTTTCCTCTCCTCTCATCTCGCCCTGGTCGCCAAGAGCACCGAGGTGCATAGTTTGCTCGTCCCTGTCCTTATTTGACCAGTTGATTATGTCCTCTCACTAATAATTGGGCATATCATGTAATGGTATGCTATATGAAGAAGAGGCTCTTTTATTATTACCTTAGCTGAGCTGTTTTCCGTATAGTAAGGTAGAAGACTTTCTTAGCTTTCTAGAAACTATTGAGGTTAGGATTTATTACTCACTAAACTTCTAACCTCGTGAATCCACTGATCATTTGAGATCCTATGGAGATTAGGAGGACGAATTTTTGCTTCCTTTGTATGAAGCTTGTCACTTGTAGTTACCTGACTACCTACGCTAGTACATTCATTGATGATCTATGCAAAGCTCGACTGCTTTCTTTTGATTAAGCCTATGCTCAGTGATGTTGACACTTTCTATAGAACACCTTAAGGTCACCTGTTCTTCAAAAAACCTCGTTTTCTTAAAGTATGCTTCTAACTAGAAAACACACTGTTGGTTGGGAGCTGTTATAAATCACCAAGTGGTATATCTTTTCCTTCATGTTACCTTCTGTTATTCAGTTTCGAAAGCGAGATATCGTCACTTGTTGCTGACCCTGGACCGTCGCCAAAGAAGAAGAAGAAAGCCGACCCGGCTGAAGAACTTAAGGAAACAAATGGTCTGGAAGTAACATCAAACGGTGCAGTTATCAGTGCTCCGCCTGCTGTATCTGTGTCACCAGCTGTACCAGTAATCGCTGCAGGTTCTTCTTCATCTATATTTGTTTCTTTTCTCAAAACTCGTACTGTTAATCTTGAGCTAATATATCCACTTTGTACAATCTTTAAGCACCGATGCTGCAAAGTTTCTCGGCACCTACGGTTATGGCTCCTTTTCTATCACCAGTCCCAGGAGTTATCCCTCCTCCTGTTCCGCCTCCTATTTTCGTTCATAGCCAGGCTTTTCGTACTCCGCCAGCCTTTCCAATGCCAATGCCGACTATCTTTTTGCCACATCAGGTATTTCTTATCTCTTGCTTCAGTAGTCAATTTCACTCTTTCTTTTTCTTTTTGTTTTACATGGTATGGGCGCATTATATAGTTCTTGTTGTCATAATAGTGGAAATAATTTGTTTTTCACATATGTTGAATGATTTTGCTCCTGGTCCATGTTTCTCATTCATCTCGATTTATGGAATCATTCCAATCATTTTAAAACGTCTCAAACCATACTCGCCTCAATTCTTTTTCTTGTAGTTTACAATTGCCACCATATTCTCATTACCGTATTTCATCAAGTGATTGAACGTTGGTTTTTCTTGAGGTGGAGTGCATGAATGTGGGATTTTAGATGAGTAGTTCATTACTTGGACATTTGGACGGCCTGTCCTCACTGATTGTGTGGGCCCCAGCATAATCTCCATTTTTCGGAGTTTTGCTCGTTTAGCCATTGTTTCCCTGGAATCCCGAGATCAGTCTGGCCAAAGCCTGCCCCAAGTCTTTACCACCACGGGCAGTTGCGCCCTTGTGGATCAGAGGAAGATTTGCCACCATGCGACTTTGATATCAGGACGGTGACGGATCCTTGTATTGGTTTACTCCTAGCTCGGCTTTCTGATAGAAACCTCTGATTGCTTATCAGCTTAGGAGGCTCTACCGAGGGGATGAATCAACCTACTGTACATCGCAGCCCGACACCAAGGAACACCTCCCAGCCACGATGAAGCGGTAAACCGTTGGGAGGGTAGTTCATTATAGTAGTGTAAAGTTTTAAGGAGGTTCTGTATGGATTTCAGTCAATAGAGAATGGAGATTGGTGCATGGTTATGTGCTTGGTGTTTCGAACTTCCTAACGAAATCTCTTATCCCGCGAATCTTTGTTTTTTAGACGATGCTTTCTCCTAGAAAAATCTTTTTGTGGTATTGAAAATCGTTATTGAGAAAGCATGCAATTAAATAAAATTTATAATCACTGTTCTATTTAACCAAGTTTTTGGACTGGTGTAGAGTTTTCTAAACAGCAAAGAGCTTTCAGCTTCGTCAGTCAGCGCCAAAACACTCAGCGACCATTGAAAGTGCACCGAAAATCTACAACGCTGACCCTTCTACAAGCAATGTTGCAGCAGGCCAGAGTTCCACAGCTCCCGTTACCTTTGTACGTCCTTCGATTTTCGATCTTTGTTTTGATTCCGTACCCACTTAGACAGATCTGGCTTTGAATGTTGATCTTTTTCCTTCTATGTATCTTTTGTGATTATATGCGCTTATCGGATTTATAAAGGCACTGGCGTCGGATATTGAAGCTATGGAGAAGAAAAATGAACATCCATCGGCGCCTTCATCAGCAAGAGTCAAGGATTCCAAGCCATCCAAACCTAAGAAATATCTTCGAGCAGGTGGTGGACAGGTATATTTATACTATTTTGCGTTGCATTGCACATTCGCTTGCATAACTCCACGATTTGTTGAGGTTTAGCAGCTGAAATACTTGTTACCAAACTTATTTTTGCATTTTTCTAGCTGGTGACGTTACGGAAGTCTTCCTTACTCTAATGTACAAGACGTTTTTTCAGGTATGGGAAGATTCTTCGCTCGCTGAATGGGATAAGAACGACTTCCGGATATTTTGTGGAGATCTGGGAAACGAAGTCTGTGTGGTTATGTGTATTTGATGAAGTACTTGTTTTTAGTCGCATTCGTTCTAATTACAGGTATCGGATGAACTTTTAGCGAAAGCTTTTCGAAAATATCCAAGTTTCCAGAAAGCGAAGGTAATGCATATATTCGTTTGGTCTGTTTGTGTTTATTTCAATTCGTGATCTTCTATCAAAAGGTAAAATTGTTACAAGAAAAATTTCGCGGTAGAAATGTTATATGAAAATTGGAGTGCTCGCTCGTCCTGCTGAATAGTTGCAGTGATCTTTAACAGAGAAACGTTGTTATAGGAATTCTTACTAAACTATTAAATTATTTGTGGAATGTTATAGAAAATAGTCCTCCCTACGGTTTATCGCCTCATCGTGGCTGGGAAATGATCCTGGGTGTTGGACTGCAATGCACAGCGGGGAGATTCATCTCCACGGCAGGGTCTCCCAAGCAAAGAAGAAGTCTTGCGTTTCAATCAGGAAGCCCAGCTAAGAGTGAACCAATATAGGGAGCTACCACCGTTCTGGTATCAAATTAGTCGGATGATGGCAAACCTCTGATCCACAAGGACGGTGACTATCTGTGGTGGTGACGACCTAGTGCAGACTTTGGCCAGGCTGACCTCGGGATTTCAGGAAACCACGATGGCTAAACCAGCGACGCTCCGAGAAATGAAGAACAGACTAACACCCACACAACCAGTGATGACGGCCCGTTCAAGTATCCAAGTAAATATGGAAAATAGTAGTGCAATGATCTTCTCTTTTATCGTCTGCTTTTTCGAGGGCGTTATGATTTAACAAGTTGTTTCATTTTCGAATGTGGACTACTTAGATTTTCACTTAGGAATGTGGTTATCCTGTATCCCTGTTTGGTACGTATTTACCTTTCTCAATTGGGTTTTTTTTCCTCAAGTGAATCTCCCTATTGTAACTGTTACTTATTTTGAATACGATAAGGAGTTTCATAACATTAGATTGAGACGTCTTGGTTCATAGTTAGGTAGGACGTTCAAGAGAAATTCATTGTTCAGGTTGTTCGAGACTCGAGGTCCAATAAGAGTAAAGGATATGGTTTCGTTTCATTTACGGAGTCAGATGTTAGTTTTATTTAAATTTATTATTTTGGGTACTTTGTTAGTATATGGTAGTGTATTCGTTTTATACGAATACTTCTGTAATTATCGGTAGGACTATGTTCGTGCCATGAGGGAAATGGACGGAAAGTACGTTGGAAATCGTCCAATTAAGTTGAGGAAATCTAATTGGAAAGAAAGAAATCTGGATGTCGTCAAAAAGAAGCAGAAACAAAAGGCCAAGCTTGGGCTTTGGAGTTAAGAGATCTGCATCGAATTGAGAAGCTATAGAGAGTTTCCCATGAAATTTGTGGGGTCTGTGTAAATGTTCTAATATTAGCGGAAAAGGTTGCTATGAAATTGCAAAGCACACGTGCTTTGAACTGAATGATCTGAACGTGAACTCGAATGGCTTTTTCGTTGTCCACTTTGTAGCCGCTGTTATTCCTAGAACTGTTTTTCCTTCACGGTCATGTGCTATATCAGGCTGTCATTGTAGTTATTATAACTTTATTTCTCGTTTTCTTAACGTTGAGTATGTCATGGAACTATATACCTGCTTAAATTGTTGATTTATCCCAGTTGTTCCAAAATGTGTTGTCTATGTGGCCAACATCTTACTCGTTTTTTGTTGGCTTGATTTTCGTTTTCTTTTCTTCACTCCATTGATTTGTTTGCGTATTTTTGTTACGTGCTATCTTAGTTGGTTGCAAATTAAAGGTTTTGAATCCTGTGTGAAACTGTACTCAAGTAACTTCAGGAGAGTTCTGACCACTTATCTTTAAATTACCTACAGTCTTTCTTACACTTTTGCTTGCTTGATATGGGCTAGTGACATCCTTACTCGATTCAAAGGTTGACGCTTCTATACTTTGGTGATGAAGACTATTCGTGCTGTGGTCACTCTCTCTCTCTCTTTCTCCTTCTTTTAAAAATTATACACTGCTTGCGTTTAATATCTTTGTTCCATAGTGTAAATTTGGTCCAGTTAGTTGAGCTACCAGTTACGTACTTTTGTTATATTGGTTTCGTTGTCAGAGTATTGTCAAAATTCAACTATAATGTTAGAGGATGATTACAATGACAGAATTACTTAACATAGGTCTCACTAGAAAATTTGAGTGCCTTGGAAGGCCTTGAGCTTACTTGGAGGACTTACTATTCGGCGATTCATAGCAAACTGCTCGGAAACTTTTGTAGTCCATCTGTCGTAAGCGAGTACAATCGCCTTCGTCCAGTCATATGAAGATTGTCTGATATCGTCTTAGTCAGGAATCCGTGCATTTAAATCAAATGTAGCACATCTCGTCGTGATGCATGCCATTTGTATTAGCATTTTAGCCTTGGTCTTATCTTTTAGATGATATTTTGTTTGGATTAAATCTGATCAGGAAGTACTTCCTACACATAAATTCTTCCAAGGACTTTAAAAAGTGTGCAAATGAGATTGGGTTGGGCATATGCTGTATCGATGGATTGGTCATCAAATCACATAAGTCAGTTCAGCGATGGAAATCGCACTTGTGCTTGCAGAGTTTTAGTCTTCGAAAAGCAAACCTCACTTCGATTAAGCTGGACCAGTGGTTGTCAGTAGTGAGGAATTGGGGATGCCTTTGCATAGCCAGCTCAAAATGTCAAATAGAAAGAAGCACAGCAGGTCTTAGACTAGAACCGCAGCCAAATCCAAATACGAACCCGACTACCTCTAAGGGTTACGGTTCTCAGAAAACGAAAACAATAGTGCTCGGGCACGTGGAACATACGAAGACCTGCGATTCAGTGTTGGTCTGATATTTTACTAATGCTAGTAACGTCTGCATCAGTTTCGAAGAATTGTGAAAATTGGTACTCACTTAAAAACACTTCTGCCCGCTTATTGCAAAAGTAGATAGATTTAAATACAAGGATACATCGATCATGTGCAACCATCAGTAGAAGCTTTCCTTTTTCAACTACCTTTTTTTTAACCACTAGAAAGCAGGTTATACGATTTATATGGGATACCGTATTAGCATTTCGCTTTACAATGTTTTTCGTTTTTGGGCCAAAATATGGTCCTTATCACTTGGAATCAGACTGGAGCTGGTAGAATTCGGATTGGCCGCTATGACTTGACTACAGATCACAATGCATGCGCTGAGAAATTAGGTGTCTAGTACATGCGGCAGGCACAAGGAAGTTGGGTCTCGGTCGTTGAGTGTTAAGACAGAATGCTGTATAAAAGGATGTAAGGCGGCAGCTGAAAGAAGCCTTAGATAAATATTATTGACGAGTTTGAATTTTCACTGCGCCAATTAATTGGGTCCAAATTCAGAATGAGATTTTAAAACATATGCTTCTGAGAGAACTACTGGTGTTTATGTAATATGATATAGGAAATAATATATGGAATGATTCTTCTCTTAAGGTAGTGGACGGCTGCATGGATTGATCTATTTGTCGAGACGCAATTGAAGAGTTTATTCGGAAGCAACCTGGGATATTTATTAGCCTCGAGGGGTATTGTCTGCAACGTATGCGTAGAGGGCAATATGGACGATGTGCATCGCACCTCCCTTTCCTTCTCAATGGTTAACTTCTTCATGCAGCTTTTTTACCACACTTTCTGTATTCAATCGATGGGCTACCAAGAACAGATGTTGTGTCAGACGTGGTTTATGGGACAATATTCCTTACGCTTGACAATTTTCAAAAAACTGTCTTGCCGACAAGGTCGTTTCGCTGGGAGATACTTTCTGTTTGTTTATCTTGTTTATGAAGAGAATGCAAAGATATCTCTTTTGCTATACTTTAACACTAAAGTTCGATATTTTGGGGCACGATTTCGTTGTGATAAGATGAAAAATAATTGGAAGGATTTCTTCAAAGAAGCCCGTAGAGGATGAGTCCTATGAATCCTATGAAATGAACCACCGACCAAATGAAAAATCTCCCTCGACGGCACCCTCCTATACTCGAATCGAGCGGTGCCTCACTGAAAAGAATTTGACTCGATACAAAGACGAACACACAAGATCTCGACGACGAACTACTGTGGACCATTGACTTGGATCTTCGGCTCGGGAAGAAGACGAGTATGTCGCACCGTTAGCCGAATAAGCGTCATTATCAATCTGGTGATAGCTTAATAATACAAGGTGTAGGTTCTTATATATTCTGCTTTAACTACATTGTTATCATAATTTGTCTTCGTTGTTCCTGTTGAAAAAATAACTCGCTCTGTTCGCTGGGAATTTTACGTTCAGCTATATCGGAACTACAGGACTGTGGTGCACGATGTACCGAGACTGGAGTATCTCTATACGAGGGAATTTTTTCTCATGGAACTCTGAGTTAGCCGTACTAATGCTTTCTTCGGTTATTGTCACGAGTACTCGCCGGCTTTTGTGGATTTGAGGGAGGTTTTCGAGGTTACAGCTGAATGACGTTGCCGGTGTTACAATTCACCATCTTCAGCTTCCACATCGAGAAGGATCAGAATCATTATAAGCTAATCATCAACCTATGAAGCTCAAGAGAGTAATTGAATGCTTTAATACTAGCTTGTTGTAATGATTTGTAAAAATGCTTCGAAAAACAGTTTTGTTGCCAGCGATTTTTGTCACAATAGGGAATGCCGGTGGAAATGAATAAGAGGCGGAACTTTCGAACGGAAGACCGAAAAGAGAATGTGGGCCATCCTTTTGTGCTTTTGTTCACAGCAGTACTTTCACGCGTGGAAATTGAGTTTTCGTCGGGAAGAAATTCTCCGGTAGATGTAGGATTGGCCCGGTGAAACACTATACGCGACCGATCAGTCCGCAAACAGAAAACCACTCCTTGTTGATAGTTTTGTGGTATCGTTATTCTTTATTGGGTATTCTTTATTGGGTTCTATTACCGCCTCCGCATGGATATTTGATTCGGCAGTCATCACCCACAAACAGAAGTTTTATATTCCGAAGGCGCATAAAACGATCATCTTTCCTATGGAGTTGTTTTCTCATGTGGTTGGTCAATCGATGATTATTTTACTGATGTTCAGGGGCACTCAGCTGCTTGAAAGTAATGCTGTTTGCGCTTCAGTTAGGCATTCGAGAAGTTCAGATTGCATTTCCACCATCGTCGTGGGATTTCATGATAAAAGGAAAAAAAGGTGTTTAGTGTGACTCTGTCACATTTAACGCTATTGCTTATATACGGCTTAAGAGGACTGAAGATAGTGAAAGGAAAAGGCTGAAATGTTTTGAAAAAGAGCCAATCGAAATGATGTCGTCGCTTTATTCGTCGTTTAAAAATTCCGGCGTTAAATTTGCTGAATAAGGCAGCGATTGTTACCACATTCTGCCATTTGGTGATAGAAAACTTACTGCAATTGCTTCTTTATAACTTCATGCTTTGGGATACTACCTTCTGAAGTCTAATTTAGAATCGAAGGTACAAAGGAGCGTTCACCTTTAGAGTCAGAAAGCACACCTGCAGAAAAGGCGCTAATTTCTCAGTCTACTTTAATCACCACATATTTTAAATAGAAGAGGCTGCAACTGCTCGCCTACCACTGATGTTTTCCGATTAACAATAGAGGCCATCAGCAATACCTACTCACCTGTGCTCTTCATGGACACATTGTAATGGATAACGAAGTTCGGTTGATGCGAAAAGTGCGTTCGCATTTATGGAAAATTCCTAACCAAGCTTCGTTTTGTGAACGATTTCATCATTCCAGGTAGTTAGTGAAACAGAAAAGCAGCTTAGTATATCCGAAGAAAGGGTTGAATATGAATAGGAAGTTCTATTCCATTACGAATATTCTCGGCGTCCTATCTCGTATGTTACCTGTTTCGCTTCCTCGGGGATCACTAGTGGAACGAGGCATTCAATTATTTATGACAACAACAGCGATTTGATCGCTTCACGACAGCCAGAAATCTCGAAAACGGTCTTTGAGTAGTTATCTATGTATTGGCAATGTGTGTTACATAGTTGTGGTGATCCGCACGTGGCCGAGTTTGTACTTTCAAAATCCGTCGAAAAATCGAGAAAAAAAATTGCTGAAATTTTGGGTTTTCAAAGAGACTTTTCCAATGTTAAGTTTAGTATTTACGACTCCTCTCTGGACGACTTATAATGATTGTTTAGTTTTGTTCATTTGTCACTTTATGTCCGGAGATGTTTGTCCTCGATATGGTGAATTTTGCTAATTTTGGTGCTCGACCTTTTGTGTTGTACAGCGAGTATAGTGGGCTAAACGTGAGACCTCGTAGATTATATGGTGTCCACTGA